GATAATAGGGGTTTACTGAAAAATACTACAAGTCGATAGGAATTTTCTGTACTTTGTCCAATATTTTTTTTTTTATCAATTTAATTATAGGTTTTCTCTTAGATATCTCATTTAATTAGCACAGAGTGTATTCGTTTAACTTATTCAATTAACTGTGTTACGACATCACTGACATCACTGAAGTAAAATTTAAAGTGATTGGACATAACTTATGAAGACTGAAAATTTTAAAAAAATGTCACAAAGATATTTATTTTTTAATTACTACTTAAAAATTTAACTAATAAAGTTTCGGTCCTTAAAATTTTTAATTTAATAAAAAATAATAGTTAATTCTTACCGATGATGACCTAAGTATGGTCTTTAATCAAATATCACCTAACTTATTATGGTGATAGATTAAAAAAAGAATAAATTGTTGACGTTAAATCCCTACAATTCTGAGTTACAAACTTTAATTTAGGGCTGATCACGAATTGGTTCGGTTCAGTTTTGGGTAAAATTAAAACTAATTCGGTCCTCACGGATTGGCTAAATCTGAAACTGACTCAATCTGTAAGGACTCTTAATCCGAACCAAACCAATCTGTGAAATAACGAAACGGATTGGTTCGGTTCGATTCCAACGGATTAGGCTTTTCAAACAACTCAATATGATTATATTGTAGTGTCACGGCTTAAGATAGCAACTAGAGATCTCCCAGCCGCCAATGGAAATCCTTTCAGTAGAGGTTTGCGTCCCCAGTTTTCACCCCACCGACAGGCGTTTCATCACTTTGGCACCAACCAAACTCAGCAGCACCAACAACAACAGGAAAATTACCATTGTATGTCTCAGTCAACCGCTAACAACCAAATTAAGAGTGGGCAGCCTCAACCCAACTTTTTGGACTTCAATTAAATGGTTTAGTAACATCTAGATAGTATAAGATAACTCAAGGTAAGCATCATGTGCATATATGTATATGTGTTGTAGGTAAAGATTGTGAAGGGGTTTATTCAGATCAGTCATTTGGAGATGAGGAATTGAGGAAGAGAGAGGAGAGAGAGAGAGAATGGGATGAGGCACAGACATTATGTTAGAAAATCTAAGGTTAGAAACTTAGATACGCTTATGTAGGGTTGAATTTTAAGAACAAATAATGAATAAAAAATAAATAAATAGAAATAATATATTACAGTATACATATAATCATATATATTATATAATACAATTCACGAATGGGATGAATTCGGTTAACGGATTGGTTCGAATTTTTTAAGGTTCAATCTGTTAACCAAACTGTTCATTGCGGATTGCTAATTTTTAAAATCATCATTAAATTATGATATCAAAAAATAGAACCGAATCACACATATCGAATATCCGAAATTGAGTAGGATTTTTGTCCACTGCGTCTCAACGGGAAAGTGAGGGTTTTACAAATCGGGGGTTTGTGTAAAGGAGTCGAAGTGGCAAAGGAGAGCTGTTACTTGAAGCAGCTGCCGGTAAGCTTTAAAGGCCTGTCATCCCTCAAATCTCTGAATAGCAAAAGTAAGGTATACCAAATTGGGGTCTGGAGTAAGGAGTCGAAGTAACGAATCTGCGGCAGATTTGACGGGAAGCTATCTCCTCTTCTTCTCAGTCCAGTTTCTCTGTTTTTTCCCCTTTATCTCCTCCTCTTCCAGTTTCTTTCTTGAGAGGAAGAAGAGAGAAACAAGTTTATCGAGAAAAAACAGATCAATTTCTTCTTGTGACCTTTGTATTTATATTGAAGAAAAAAGATAAAGATGTGGCCCGCAATTCCTAAGCCTGAGAAGCAAGAATACCCGGAGGGAATTGCAATTCCTGAGCCCGAGAAGCAAGAATTGCCTGAGGGATTTGCAATTGACTTTGAAAGGGGTTGTAATATTACTGGTGGAGAGAGTGTCAATAAGAGAGAGAGAGTGTCCGTAGGAGAGTCGACCGTGTGAAACAAGCTCTCAAGATAGCAAGGGCGAATTTTAAGGCGACGTTAATGGCGACTCCTCCTGCTGCTAGACAGGAGTTATTGAGGCGGTGTATAAAAATCATATCCCGGTCTTCTTGACTCAACGGACTTAGCTTCTGCAAGACAGGAGCTCGCTCGACAGGAAGCATATCCCGGTCTTCTTGACTTAACGGACTACGACAGAATCATGGCGTCGATGCTACTGAGCACAAGTGGGTGGAGAGAGAAGGATGCTCTCACCGCCGCACCAACAACCACAGGCAAGAACTTCAAGATCAGCCCACTCGGGGATCCGTGAAACCATGTGTTTTTTTTTTTCTTCACTTGAATTCATATTAAATCATTATAGAAGACTTGGATCCGGCCGTCTTTGCTCCAAGCTGGAAATTGACTCGTTGGAAGGAACTGGGTTGACTCAGAGTGTGAGATGAAGAAGACCCATTTAGTATTTTTGTAATTTTATAATAATAAATATCATGTTTAAATTTAATATTAAATTATTAGGTTAATTTTGTCATTTCACAATCTAATAAACGGTCTGATCAAGAAATGGGTTAAGTGCAAAAAATTTCTTTTTACTATTGATATAGTGCAAAATAGTCTATGCGTAGTATAAAATTCCCCTATACTATCAATTTTGTGCAATTAACCCATGTTCACATAAAAAGACATTAATACCCTCTCTAATATAAATTTCTGGATTAAGTACAAAAAACCCCATTGATATGCAGGGTTTGTGCAAAAATAGTCCATATTTTTTGAAAATGTGCATTTTAGTTCATAAAATTAAAAAAAGATGCAAATAAGCTCCTCGGACCACTTTTTGGTCAAAATTGACATAAAATAAATAAAAAAAAAGACATAACATTTTATCCTCATTTGAAAAAATATATACTATATATATATACACACAATATCATAATTTCCTCTTAAAAGAATCCATATTAGACCAGGCCGATGAGTGTCTGTACGAAAAAAGTAGTTTCACTGCCTTCGAGTTGAAGAAAGTAGGACCGACAACACCCTTTTGGGTCCCCTGAAAAAGTAAAGTGAACAAATACATGCAATTTTGAAATTACAGTGATTGTAATTTCCAAATATAAAGAATAGTGATCATCCTTAAAATTTATCATAATTACTGTGTAAACCAAATGCACTATTTGTTGGAAAATTATTAGTTAGTTTAACTTTACAGTGGGTTAAAAAAAAAAAAACGAAACAAATCAACTTTATTGTAATAATCAAGAGGAATAAAGTTCTATTTTTTAATATATCTTTAATTTAGTTCAGAATTCATTAGTAATTAATTTTTTTTACAGTTTTGTCATTACTTATTGAATATCTTAAATATATTTATTTTAAGGTTAATGATCTTAATTGGATAATATTGAATTTTGTAACTATTAGTATAAAATTTATGTGAAAAAAAATTCAAAAATAAAAGTTAATGGTCTTAAATTAATCGAAAATTTTGAAATTTTTAGGTTCGGTCTGCTTAGATGAAAATTAGTAGTGGCTATATTCTATATTTGTTTTGCACGAATTTTTTACATTGCCTAATTTTTTTTAATATTATTTCAATAATATTAAAAAGGGTATTAATGTCTTTTTATGCGAACATGGGGGTAATTGTACCAAATTGATAGCATAGGGGGTTTTATACTACACATGGACTGTTTTGCACTATATCGATAGTAGAAGGGATTTTTTGCAACTCAAGGGCAAAATAGGATTTTTGAATTTATTTTATGTCAATTTTGACTAAAAAGTGGTCAGAGGGGCTTATCTGCACATTTTTTGAATTTTATGGACTGAAATATATATTTTCAAAAAGTAAGGACTATTTCTGCACAGTCGATCAGACGTTTTTAATTTTTATTTATTTATTTATTTTTGTCCTTACAATTAACACCGAGGATGGATCGGGGAGAATCAAACCCTCTAACTTTCACTTTGAAATGAGTGGAAGTACCAATGGGCAACCGACCTTTAGTAGGGACTTGCAACTTAATTATCAACTTTTCTTCGAAAAAAAAAATAATAAAAAAAATTTCCTGGATGATTATTCATGCCCTTTTCTCATAACATGCACTAGGGTCTTTCGTCCCAATCATCCTTTATACAACTAAAGACGGTCTGTGGGCGATAATTAGAAATATATTTGTAGTTAGGTAAAGTTTGAATTTTAGCGTCCTCAGGTTTAATATGCTGACCAAGACAAAATGAAAAAGAACATTATGGAAATAATGATTTGTATGAGTGTGATACAAATTTTTTTCCCTAAATAAGTGTGATACTTCAATTCTCTATAGTACTAGTTGTGTACTAGAACTTGCAAAGGAGGTAGCGTTTTAACGAGAAGATACCCATACAGTTAAATGTGTTAAATTTAAATAAACTTTTTAATTGTCTTGATCACATGATCCCGATCCCCTACAAATTTCTGATATTGCCCATATGGGCACACACTGCTGCTCGCTTTGTTTGTTTTGAGTTAGTAGAAAGTTGGGCTCTCATAAAAGTCCACAAGGATCATGTAATGTAAGCAGGTTGCTTCAACAAAGTACACTCTCGATTCATTGGCCTAGTTGGTAAAACATCTAGCCCCTTCCCCCTGCATATACACATAAATATATATATATATATATATATATGGGAAGAAGAAACACCACCCAATATAAACCAGTATTTTATTTTTTCCTTTTCTATTTTTATTAAGGGTATATAAGTAATTTTCGATTAAAAAAGAGTATACATGTCTTTGTAATCTTTTTTTTAGGACAAATGTGGTCCTTCACTCTCAAAATGGCTGATGTCATCTAAAAAATGGTCATTGACCGATATTGATTTTCACGTGGAGGGGAAAAGTGTTATGACGGAACAAACCTTGAGGGAGATTTCTGTAATTTTTAAAACGTTAGGAATACTGATTGTAATTAGGCTTAACCTCGAGGGAGGTAAGGGATATTTTCCCAATGCTAATTAATTGAACATTCATTTGTGTTAGTTACTAAATACGGCAGCAAAGGCATAGTGAAAAACAGATAAATTAAGCCGGCCAACTAATAAGTGAAGAAAAACTGGGTCTTCCTAAGTACCAATGTTTACATGCATAGTAAAAATACTTGGGGGGTATCAAATAGATTAATCTAACCTCATTCAGAATAATATTAATCATCTAACCATCAACATTAACTACCCCCAACCCCTAACATTCTTGCCATGAAAAAAAGAAAAAAAGGTAAAGGGCCGGACTGATAACCGTGAGGTAGACGGTTCAAGCATGAGATCAACCATTTTGTATAAAATGATACAAAAGGTTAAATCCGTTGACAATATCCTCTTCCAACAGGCCGCGTAGATAACGCATGCATTGCATAATGCAGATCCAACCTTAAAATTCTTCTGGCTAATTCATCTAGAATATTTTGACATGTTTCCACCAGTGGTACCAGTAAACTGACCTTATCCCTGCAAGTTAAATTCAGCAGAGGTGAGAAACAACCATCTCAACTGAAAAACGAGGTTTAGATTCAGTCATAAACAACAAAGAAGCATCATAATCATCTCCTCAGATTCAGTCATAAACAAGAAAGAAGCAACATCATTATCAGAAAGATGAGGTAGCACTCTAAAATGATTAGGAAAAAACGCTTTCTTTTTTACCTTGGTTAATTGGTGGCGGGGGTAGTTGTGGGGTGGTGGGTTGTGTGTGTGTGTGGGGGTGGGGGGGAAATGGCAGAAAATATTGCCTCTCCCTAAACTTGTCGCGCCCTGCTCCCTGCAGAAGCGTGAACTGCTCACCCAACACTTATAAATTAGTCTCATCCTGATCAACAACATAAATTAACAAGTAACTTATAATATGATAATAATCATAAGCTACTTCATTGTCCAACATTTAACATAACTCTTAACATATACATGGTAGTACATTCCATAGTCTAAACATAATATCAAAAGTCCAAAATACAAGTCACGAAATGGGATACACACCCACGTCCCCACTAGGCTGCCCATTAAGATACATAGCCCTTAACCCAAACCAAAACTTAGCAGCTAGCGCCAAAAAAAAAAAAATCCACTTGACTGCCACACCTCGAAAATTTTGCCTAAGGTCAACCTTACTCCTGTTCCATTACCGTCTCACCACAGCTTGGACCTGAGAAAGGTTTTAGAAGGAAAGAGTGAGCTAAAAAGAGCCCAGTAGGTTCCCCGGTTTTATATAAAACAAATAAAGTTTTTTTTTTAAACAAAGCTGAAACAATTCTGTTTCAATAGCGGAAGGAAAAAGAGGTACATAGCAATGCAGGAAAGTTAAATAAACACTTAAACATGGCTAACATAGTATTTCAAAGCATCAGAAATTCCTTTCCAAATTCGATCAGCTTATATAAATTTTATATTTCAAATCGAATAAACTCAAAAATCAAATAGCTCATCAAAGAAAACAAGGCTAGTTCAAGGTTAAGAAATTTTACAACAAATTTCAGATTCTTGACAAAGGAATTTCACAATCAAAACAATGCTTTCAGAAATCATCCTTCGACTGCTTCTTCTTTCTCTCTCTCTCTCTCTCTCCCTCTCTCCCTGTTTCCCTGGCCAAGAACCCTCCCGTTTGCTCTTCCCTCCTTTTCTTTCTAGTTCGCTTTTCTATGTATATAAGCTAACTTAGTGCCTTAGTCAAAGGTCTACAACATGTGGCATAGGGCTCGAATGGATCAAGACAATTATCACTTCTTTTTTCTTACATCCACTAACTTGGCTAAAACCTCCTTTTACTTACCAAATTCACTTCATAAAAAAGAATAACTATAATATAATAAAATATCATAATCTATAAATTCTAATTGGGCCCATTCCTTTCTTTTATATCAGCTCCTAATCCCTCCACTTACTGTAATTAAGATTTTTGTACCAAGCTAATAGGTTGCACCATTCTCAAGTCCAATCTCATAAAATGTAAGATAACTAAGACGACCACACTAAACTTTGCAACAACTAGGTAAATAAATAAGAAAAATTCAGAACATTACATCCTATTACTTACTTCAAGCCCACTAATTATTATTATTATTTTTTCATTTACCACCACCATTATTTATCAAAGAACCTTATTTTGAAACTTGGGGGCTGCAATCTACCCTCCTTCAAATAAATTTCGTCCTTGAAATTTGTAATTTGAAGTGTTTCATAAGAACTTTACGACCTAATCACTCTGCCCACTCCTCTATCTTTACTTGAAATCCCTATGGTGCATCCAATATCCAATGAAAATGAATGCTAAATACCTCTACCAAACGTATGCAGGACCTAACATCCAAATAAAATCTCTCAAGCATATAACTACATTACCCGAGATGATCTCAGTTACAAGCAATATGTCCTTCATAATGAATATCTCAATCCAGACAGATGATGCTTGGAAAAAAACAAAAACATCATAGCTTACTGAAAAACAACCCCCCTTTACAGTCAAGTCTCATCCGATTTTTCCAACATAAACTCCTACACATTTGTTAGTCAATCATTCTATTACTATTCCTCAAGTTATGAAACCCGTGCTATTTCCATAGATAAGATATTGCAAAAACTCCTTTCAAATCAAATCCTCCAACAGCAAGAGGAGATCTAAGATCCTAGAATGGATACGAAAAGTAAAAATTACACGTAGTCCGTAGAATCTCCCAGTCTTGGGTGAAGACAGTGTAACTATGCAACTGAAGAACCACGAATAATAAATTAAATACCCAAAACAGATCCACATCCTTAGTCGTCATACTTACATAAGCAGAGCCCTCATCTTACCTCTTGCGACGAATACATCGACCATATGAAACTGAATTTGATCCCTGGCTACAAGAAAATTCCAATTCCTCCGGATCCGATTCATACTTCTCAAGTTCTGGCTCTGGCTCTGGCTCTGGCTCTGGCTCTTCCTCTTCTTCTGATTCATGCTCGCTGTTCTCCGGTTTAGATTCCCTTTTAGACCCTTAATTCACTCTGGGTTCACCCTCACTTGTGGTGTTTGATCCCCTTCAACTGAGTTGCGGAAACTTGCTTCGATATAGGACTCGGTGAAAATCGCCCACAAAATGGGGGATAACTGCGTACCATAGCGCTTCTTCTGCTTGTGCTTGGGATCAATTAACGGTGGGTATGTCTTGGCATCTCTTCTCGTTGATTTACTATTTGCTGATGGTCTTGGTGGTTTTTCCCTTTCTGAGCTACTATCCTCCATCTAAGGGGTGTCAATCCCACTGAACAATTTAATTAAAGATTACCATGAAAACATAACGTATATCAGAAAATGACTTAACAGGATTCCATCAGGTAAAATATGTCGCTACCAATAAAAAAATAAATCCCAACAACACTCTACTTAAATATCAAATGAGCATCACAGACAAATTTTTTTGCAACGCTGCCAATTCATCATCAAACTCATTCCACTTTCGTAGTACAATCACAATTGATACCAAATAATTCAACCTGAAACACTTTATAGATTATTCATAGATTATCAATCATTCAAGGATCTCTAATAAAATTTGTATAGATCAATTAAATTGAACTGTCAATTTCTCCCCAAATTTAGTACAATCACAATTGATACCAAATAATTCAACCTGAAACACTTTATAGATTTTTGATAGATTATCAATCATTCAAGGATCTCTAATAAAATTTGTATTGATCAATTTACTTAAACTATCAATTTCTCCCCAAATTTCGAGTGAAAAACTGGAAAATTCTAAATCAAAATAACAGGTTCCTTTACAAAAACTACACCATAGTCTTTACCTTCCACAAATCCAGTGACTACATTGGATGCTCATAATGGTGGTCCATAGAAGACTAAAAACAAGCCACTAAGATTTACTAAAGTCATAAGCACATCAAGAAAAATTACTTCACGAAATCTGAAAATATGGCTTGCATAACCACCTGCACTAATAAAGATTTCAAAACAACTCCACAAAAATAGCATTAGGAATAGCAGCATAAAGACTATGCCTCCTTAGGCCTTTCAAATCATCGTTGAGCAGACAAAAAATATGAGAACAAAAAAAAAGAAAAAAAAAATCTAAAGACCACAGATGAGGGCTACAGTGGTTATCAAACATCAATTTTCATCATGATCTAACCAAAGTAATAAAGAACAACTTCGCCCAACATCTAAAGCCTTAATCTCACACCAAACCTATAGGCCATAATATGCCATGCAGAGCAGATCCACAATTTATTTAGTCAGAGTTATTCTTCCTTCACAAGATGAGTATGGGCAAAGTAATTTCACAAATTTTAAATATTCTTTTAATAAGGAAACAATTTATAAAAACAAGGTAAAAATACTATGAGTTCATTTATTGAATTTTACAAATAATCTATAAATATTTAGAAATCTCTTATAAAGAAATATTCAAGTTTTTAGTTAAAAAACAAACATTTTTTTTCCCATCCAGAATAAGTCCATAATTTTGATTCAGAAAACACTTAAGGAACATCCCAAAGTTCCCTAGTCAATCACACATAGTCACAGTGTCACGGGTTTTAGAACCCATTTTGTAATCTGCCACGCTATAACTTCAACAATAAACACAAACCTTTGATGAGTCAAACTTGGATTGTACCCCCAACAATTCATAAGGACTTCTTCAAGTGGAATCACGACACTTCATGAACAAAGCATAATGAAACTATGTACCACAAGTGCCCTTTTTTCATCTTCCATCTGTGCAAAAATTTCAAATAAATGACAATTTTTTACGATAGTACCTTAGCACCCTTTTTAGATAAATGCCCAATATCATAACACCAAAGGTTTATCAAAAGAAAATAATCATAACACTAACACACCTAAACTGCCAAACTAACCCAAGGTCCATCCAACCCTCAATCCACTTGTCCTAAGGTACTTGAACCTTGTGCTCTCATACCATTCTGTCACGCCCCACTCCCAGGCTCCCAGCGGAAGCATGAACTAACCACCCAACACTTATAAATTAGTCTCATCCAGCTCAACAACATAAATAAACAACTAACTAATAATATGTTAACAACCATAAGCTTCTCATTGTCCAACATTTAACATAATACTTAACATATACATGGTAGTACACTCCCGATGTAAGCGAAAGCTAATATTGTTCACAAGGGACGATAAACAACTTTGAATCCACAAAGTTAAGAGATAAAATTCATAGAAAATCTGATATTGCATTGATAATTGAATGAATGAAAATTAATTCTGCTCTTTTCACTACACGTTTATAATAAAGGAAAACCTAACACTAGAAAGAAACTAATACCATAAAGAAACCTAATAGCAAAAGGAAGATAATTCCTCAAAGAAACTAACGAAAATTAGACTTCCTATAAAAAGTTATAAAAAAAAGAAAAGAAAAATACCTAAATAATAATAATTACTAAATCTGAGAAACTGTCCTACATCAGTCTCCTCCACTTCAAAAAAAAAAACTCGTCCTCGAGTTTTGTTGCGACTCATCATATATCAATATGAACAAGATTTCATACCATTGAGTACTTAACCTTAGTTCATAACATTGCTTCTTAGTTGTCCAATTCCAAAAGAACACCAACTGTGACATATCCCTTTTCTCCCTTGAAGACTTAGAAGTAAAGAAATTTTCTGATTCATAATACCCAATCTCGTTCAAGTCTAATTTATTGGATTCCAAAATAATTCATGAATGATGGCACGTTTCAAGAGGAATCGTTGTTGTTGCATAATTGTTTGAAAACCCAATCACCCAAAGTTGACCGCAAAGTTCAAATCCCAGATAAATATGACTTCTCATAAAATAATCACCCAGTTGTAATTGGATAATTTTGGATGGAAATTGCATTCCAAATAGAACAGAACTTGCGAGGCAATTAATGGGTTCATCAATTTTAGGCACGTTTTCCAAGCAAACATACATGTGGGCAGCATCTTGGTGTTCTCCAAACTGGCGCTCACCATTGGCCACTTGTGGAATTTCTTTCTGTGCGCTAACCATCATTGGTCTGCTCTTGAATTCAGCTATAATAGAATCAACTGCGCCATCAATGCCACTTTGTAAATCTGTCACTTTTGTATCAGCAACTACTGCCATGCAATCTTCAAGCTTGTCTGAATCTGTATCTTTCAAGGATGGGTCCACGTCATCACTGGACATCTCACTGACGTCCTTATGTTCCAAGTCTAATTTTATCAAACCATCAGTTATCTCTTTGTAGTTGGACTCTGAAGTATTCTTACTTGGAGTCTCTCCAACTGCATCTACGGCGGCTAAAGTTTGGACAATTTTATCATCTTCAACTACAAGAGTTGAAATAGTATAATTTTTCGCACAACCAATCTTTTGAGAATCACTTGTTGCTTCAACAAAGTAATCTTGATCTTCCTTGATCTCACAATCTTTATTGTAAAATTTCTGCGTAGACTCGTTGACAAATGGGCTCTCTTTCCTACTATCCTGATATTGCGCATAATCTGGCGGTAGGAATCTAGCCACAATTAACTTTTTCATCTCACACCACGATCAAACAAGCTGTAATCCTTGCCTTATTCGGTTAATCTTTATCCATTCCCACCAAGCTGAAGCACACCCTTTAAAATTAAGGGCAGCAAGCAGAACTTGCTTGTTTTCAGGTATGCCAAAATACTCGAAAATCCAGATTGTAACAATTTGGGCCAAAACCCAGAAAAAGATTCAAAAATCTGAAAGACCAGTCAAACAGCTTCAAAATGAGAAAGAAACACTGCCATAACTCTTAGAAAATTCAGGCAAGCCAGGGGCTATGGCTCTCAACCTCCAGATGCTGACATCAGCATGTGTCAGTGTGACGTCAGCATACGGACGCTGACTTCAACCTTCTCCGATGTATAAGAATGAGGTCTAAAGTTCGATTTGGCTCTGATACCAAGTTAAAGATGGTGAGATGGTGTTTCTTGGGTTAGTGAGAGAAGAAGTGGAGAAGAAGAAGAGAGGAGATATAATATAATCATGGAATAGAAACTCAACTTGAGATTCTACACCACTCCAATATTATATATAAATAGCCCTTAAACCCACAGTACAATAAGACCCAAACTCTCTGACTATCTAACAATATAATAATATAATCTATAAATTCTAATTGGGCCCTCTCCTTTCTTTTATATCAGCTCCTAATTCCTCAACTTCCGGTAATTAAGATTTTTGTCGCAAACTAATACTTTGGACCATTCTCAAGTCTAATCTCATAAAATGTAAGATAACTAAGATGACCCAACTAAACTTTGCAACAACTAGGTTAATAAATAAGAAAAATTCAGAACATCATATCCTATTACTTACTTCAAGTCCACTAATTTTTTTTTTGTTTTTTATTTTTCATTTACCACCACCATTATTCATCAAAGAACCCGACAATTCTAGTCACAAAGCAAGTGTATCTAATTAGACACATAATAGTAGAGGTCCAAACTATGCCGATTGCCTTTTTTTAGATAAGTCAAACTATGCCGATTTTCCATCTCTCGGTAAAGAGAAACCTCGTATAGTTCAGTTCCACTATTTTGATTTTATTTTTTTAAGGCACATTAGAAGATTACATCAAATTCCAGGAGAAAAAGCAAATTGTTTGTAGAGAAGGAATTCTATTCAGGCGATGCTCGTGACTATCAGTGTTCATCAACTGCAGTTCTATGCTATCATGAGTACCTAAATAAACTCAGTTAAAAAAGAATAATTGAAATGGAACACTACAAAAATAGAGAAGCTGCTGGAAAATGAACTTGCCTACATTCATTCTGAGACTTGGGCAATGATATTGGTGTATTCTTTGTTGGCAATGATTAAAAAAAATCCATGAGATGCTTTTCAGTAGGACTAGTCAGTCCAATAGGTTTCATAACTTCTTGAGTGATTGCAGTGAAATGCTAAATGCATAGCTTTGTAATCACAACTTTTCTCCTTGAATGACTTGGGCACTATCCCTGGTTGATGGCTTCTGCCACAGATGGTGGTGTTAGGAAATAGCGTCATCAAATTTTATGTTATTGTTGATGTTTTCATGCACAACAAGAACAGTATTTGTATATCAATCTACTGTCTTCATTAAAGGTGTGTGAGGCTCATGGCTTAAGTGTAAGACTTGTAGAAAATGCATTGGTGCTCAATCTCATAAGCTAAAGCTCGTAACTCCTGCTAAATTAATGAGGAATCATCGCTCTTTAATTTATTACCTAATACGTAGTATATGGTTTCTTTTATCTGACCATCATTCACAACAGGTGTACTTTACCAGACATCTATGGCTAAAACGTGATTATTGTAGACAGAATACCCCTAGTTAGTTAAAAAGGAAACTAATCAGGAATAAGAAGTTCAGTTTTGGAGACGTTATAGAAGAAATATAGCAGTATAGCACCAGAAGCTTTGAAAATTATCCGGGAATCTTAAAAGTTCCACTAGAAGGAAAAGGATTAATTAGAAAAATGTAAGGTCAACAACTAAAGTCTAAAACAGTGTTTAATTAGAGTATATCACATAGAAATAAATAGCAATAAGCATTACATCTAACCAGTCATATAACCTCATTGTTTTCAAGCAAGCATCATCCACGTTACTTTTTGTTTTTATGGTTTCTTTCTTTATATATATATCTATATTGGTTTTTATTTTTATTTTTATTTTAAGGGGAAAAAAAAAGAAAAGATGAAACAGAACTTTGCCATCTTCTAGTGATCTAATAGGACTATGTATTTAACTGGAAATCTTAGTCAATGAGACTATATATATATATATGATCTAGTGAAGATGATTGACCGAGGGCAAAATAGAAAAAGAAAGATCAACCTGGGAGCTTGCTGCATATAATAGCTTATGGCCAATCAGCTACTGAAGGAAGTGACATATTTTCTGCCATCAAAGGTTTACCGAAATGACTTAATATGACATCAACTTCGACATGATCTGATGGGATCAAAGTTGGCCTAATAACTTTTTGTTAAGCCCAGTCTATGAGTCTTTCAAATAGCTTCTCATTAAGCCCTGTCAATGAAACAGTTTCAAATATTTCAAATATGAGGTGCCCTTCAAATGATTCTTTACTTTTATACATATTTTGTTTTTTGCAAAAAGAACCCGATTGTCACTGTTCTGACGATACGGTAACCGTATGTTGACATGTGATGAACCCATTCATTTTAAAAGACGTGTTTGCCCTTAAATAATTCATGATCGCCACGGCAGTAATTTATTTCAGCATCACAGTCCTCTCCTCTCTCTACTTGGGCATTGTTCAAACACAGTCCTCTCCTCTGTACCTGGGCATCGTTCAAACACATTTCTCCAAAATTGCATATTTTTCCATCTCTCTTACTTCCAATTTTCCTCTCTCAACCTTAATTGCTGGTTTCCATAGAGTTAAAGGAGAGGAGCCCAATCCTTGAACAACAATGGAAGAAGAAGAAGAAGAAGATGTCTCAAACCCTAAGCGCACCCAATCAAAACTACATTTTCCGATGGCCATACCCAAATTATAAAGTTCTATATCAATCACTCAACAACAAAAATAGCTACCTCATTCCCAGATCTACACACCAAGACTCCAAATAATCAATGAATTAGAAAATGGGTTTCTGAAATTACTCCCCAAAATCCCATATTTTTGTGCTTTTCAGCCTCTTATAGGGTTTGTCATACCCAAGTCGGTAAGTTGATTCGTCCAACAGAAAACCATCAAAATCAAGCAATTCTCTCATCTGTCTCTCTCAATTGCTCCAAAATCTTCCATTCTCGTGGGGTTTTTTTTTTTTGTAGAACTGTAACTGGTGATAACCAAAGGATGCAACTGGGCAAGTCTAACCCATCAAAGAAAATAAACCCAGACAACACCAACGCGTCAAAGAAGATAAACCCAGACCACACCAACCAATCATCACCTTCAATTCTCCAATCAAAGCCTTTTTTTTTTTTTTTTCCCTAAATCTTCAAACCCCCCAACCATGGACAGGTCAATCATGGCGGCATCAGATTCTGAAGATTCATACAGAAACAATAGCCATGGATGCTCGGAGAGGACAATCAACAACAACGATAGCAAACTCCAGAGCATCATTCTGTCAATAATGATTTAATTAAGGTTGATTTGGTAATTAATTTGATTTGATTTGCCAAATCAGGTCCGGAGAATGGCGTTTGTCGCCGGTGATGGTCGTGGGCTGGTTCGCGAAGTCGGCTGCCAGAGAACAAGAGTGTACAGAGAGAGAGCGAGCCTAAAGAGAGTTTTATGTACATATAGCGTTAAAATGGAGTTGTTTTTGGTGGTGATTGTGATAAGTGACGTGTCGCACTGTTATTGGGTGCTGAGATTGTATTTGACACGTCATGGACAACACCTACTAAGGCAATGAAACTGCTCCTCATATTAAGGGTAAACTGGTAATTTAATATCTCCGATAACCTCTTGCACCGGCAACTTTTTGCTTTGTCCTTAAATTGCACATTTTATATAGTTCAGGGGGCATAACTTAATTCAGGGGGGTTTTGTGCTTTAGCTCATAGTTGAGGGGGGGTTTATGCACTTTACCCCATATTTTATTACTCATTATGAAATCATCAAAAAAATTCCTCCACGTTTCACCATATCTCATATCAACCAGTGGCACTTTCTTTTTCACCCAATTAATAAATTAAGGTCAAGATCTTAAAGCCAACACTCATGTGGCAAGCTTATATTCAATATATCGCATCGAACCTTGACAAACTTTCTGTCCATCTAAAGAATGTGAAATTGTTTTTCCCATTAGCTGAATTAGATTAACATTATATCTGGGGAAGCCAACAATTAATGGCCAAAGATTAACCACAGAACGGTTTCTAGTTTAAGCATCCAATGTATAAAATGAACCAGTGTTAGGAGGGATAATAGATAATAGACAACCCCCCCCAACCCCCCCCCCCCCCCCCCAAACAGGGGGATGATAGATTTTAGGTAGATTAGAGTTTTATTTATTTATTTTTGGTAAAGGTAGATTGGAATTGGCACACCACATTAATCAGCACAGTAAATAACTTACTGAACTCCTTATGCAATCCCATATTAACATAATAAAAACCTACAAGTTATAGAAGAAGTTAACAGATAGACTAAGAGAGGTGCTATTAGATAGAATATCATAAAATGTCTAACCAGTGTGGCAACAAACAAAAACTAATCAAGAATTCAAAATGCAGTTACCTTGTCTCAGATCTTTCTTGCTTCGTGCCGGTTAACCTCATTTTTTTTAAAAAAAATGGCCTCAATCTGCAATATATTTGTGAACGTGTTGGATAATGTATCAGTCATAAGAGTTGCAGAATAAGTATCCCTGTCTCAACCTTGAGACAATTTGAATGGCAGAGTTGGTAGAAGTACAAGTGTAAAGTTAGTGATGATTTTCAATCAGAAGAAATCTGTGTCTTCAGCATCTGCCAAACTTCAGGGCCTCTAGGATGACGTTTTACGTACCTCATGAATATTTTTTCCGTAGATGAGATAACAGTGCTCAAAGCCAAATTGAGTTCTACAGTCCCTTTATCTTTGAGCCAATTATACATTGATAACCTAAGCTTAACCCTCTGATTTGTGTACCCAACATATGCTGGAAATGTAATTAAGGTTGATAAGGGATAACCCGAATCATTTACAAGAAAATCAATCTTCATTTTAATCACCTCCTTTTTTAGGTTAAGAATTTGAGGAGCTACTTTGATCATATGTGTAACATCCTTCTTATTCAAGCCAGCATTCACAAAACAATCAAATCTCTCCTGAAGTTCTCCTCCTTTGCCTCGGAACACTTTGAGAGATTTTCTCATTTCGTTTGAGTCTTCAACAAATCCCAAGTCCAGCAAGAACTTAATCCTCATCATCCTTGACCTTAGTTCATCCCCTGAGTTTGGTAACGGTTTCACCCTTGATCCAAAAACCCAATTCTTCAGCTCTTGTGGGTTCTTTTTAATGATTTCACGGAGTCGCTTCTTCCCAGATTTCAAGTCAGAAAGTAATGTGTTGAGTTTCTTTAGATAACACGAACCCAGCAATACAGGGTGTGAACGAACAATCCTCCCAATCTCTTCAACTTCCATCTCAATGTTGATCAAAAAGTGATAGCAATGCCTCAAATTGCAAACGAAATCCCCAACCTGGGCTTGTGGGAACTGCAGAAAGATAGAACATATCTCATTCCTTGTGGCACCAAATTTCATTAAGAACCCGATTAGTGAAAAGGACATATTTCCAGAATTTTGGAATAGAAGTCCTGGATGCTGACAGATTATACCTTTTAATTGCTCTTCACTGCAACCCATATTGCTCAATAAGCATAAAAGCTCAAACATATGGCTCCAATTATAAGAATTCCCCTCTAATAAATGCCCTTCAATACAACCATATTCGATCCCAACACACTTCAATTTTTCTAATATCTTAGGAAGCTCCCTATTTGCATCCCTGACCAAAAGATAAGGACTTGAAGAAACAATCTTGATTATAGTAGACTGGTTCAACCCCATTTCTTCAAAAGCTTGAAGCTTTGACTGCAAAACACCATCATCATATCTGAAAACTTCCGTTGCTTCCTTGTAGATCTTTCCGATCTTATTCCGTGCAATACCATAATCACACAAAACACGAAAGTTCTTTAGCAAAGCTTGATCATCATTCAGAAAAATCAACGCACGAGGCAGAAGTGTAGAATACTCGGAAGGTTTTAAACCAATGCTCTCGAAAAAGGGTTCAAACTCGTTAATGGGGTTGTACCGCAACAACCGGGTTATGGACCACCCAACATCTACTTCATTCTCGACCTTCTTTAACAACTTTTCAAGAAAAAGTGGTGAGTTTCTGCTCATATTATCAGCATCCATATATTGCAAGCTTCTAGTGGAGTGCAGGTATTCCAATAAAGCAGCTTGGGCTTCTCCAACAACTCTTTTAGTTCCGAAATACCTAGGGTTTTGCGCGATGTGGTGTGACCCAATTGCCCACATGCTTGTTTTTGATGATCTAAATTTGTTTTCATATAAATTTAGAGAAACCCATTTGAGCACACAATGTCTTTTAGGTTTCAGTAAATGGGTCATGGCGATGAGATTTTCAGTGTATGATGCAAAGGAAATAAAAAAAAAAAAAAAAAAAAGGACAAGTTTAAGCAATACAATAGGTATTATATATGAAGAGTCAACAGACCTTTTTGAGTGAATGGAGCCCTTTCTGTTCGTGGACGTCCACCAACCAGACAGCCGGAATGAGAAGATCGACAGATCGCCTGGAGATTTCTAGGTCACCGGCACTGTTTGGAATCTTACGTTATTAAACGGGCTCTTCAACAGGCTTTCTCCAATTCAATGTCGGCCCCAAATTGGGCTTGCTTTGTAAAAGCTTGGACTTTTCTTGCCGCTATCACCCATTGGGCTTCTTCGTTTTAAAACATTTTGTCTTTAACCGAAGTGATAAGGAATATAATTTTTTTTAAACCGGTGTTACTATCGCCATGTGCATTCTGTTCTTGCACCTCGCGCACATTCTTTCTCCCGATCTTACTATACGTAATTTAGATTTTGCTACTTTCGTGCTTCCGCTTCCACACCCGCTGTGTGACTTAGTACTTTACCGTTCGAAAATGTAAAAATAGATAAAATCACGTTATATAATTGTGTATATTAAATTACATAAAATATTTTAAAATTTTTGATATTTGGTTGTAACATAAAAACTGAAATTAATTTCACTTGAAAAAAGACTTATACCTATGTTATTATTCAATTATTACAATGATATTTGGATAATAAAGGAATATGGCTTGTCGCAGTTGTGAGCCCGGTTGGGATTGCTGTTGAAATAGAAAAAATATTTTTATCAATAGAGCTGTCAAAAAATTAAAAAACGTTAATTTTATAATAATATCATTTAATATAATGTTACCATATTTGATAATAGCAAGTTTATTAAGGAAGGAGTGTAATTATTATTATAAAAAATAAAATGGATAAAATTGTCTAATAAAAAAGAGTTACAAAAAATATTGAACTTCTGTCTAGGCTGATAACCCAACATTTCATAGACACTGCGCTTCTTGGTTGATTGAAAATAGCTGATCTTGTTACGAACAGTTATATCTAAGATAAGGTAATAACTTTTCAGAAATTATTTAAAACATTTTTGGCCTCAAAATTCTCTCTCCCCTCTACTCCGAACAAAGTTTGATAAGCTTTAAACACTCTACTGAACTAAATTCGATAATCATTTAAAGCACTTATAATAATTACCAAACACATTCACAAGTTTTCAAAATAAAAACCTTTTAAACCGAAGCATTGTCCATCCTAACCGGGCTTAAAGTTGTGAACTTGTGATTACCATATATTAGAAAATAATAATAATAAAATAAAAAAATAAAAGTTCAAAATATGAAAACTGGTTTAGGACAATCATAAATGTACCATAAAAAATAATATGAAAATTTTATAATTTTGATAAATAAAATTTTATCATGTCCTCAACTTCGTCCTCTCACCACGTAAAAGAAGGGAGAGGAATAAGACTACTCACTTAATTCAAATCTTGTTATTCTTTAGATATAATATTTGTATTATATATATATATATATATTTGGAATTTTTTAATTTTAATTTTGGAAGTTTAAACAAAATATATTACTAAATGGGGAGTAATTAAGAAAATAATGGGCCAACGGCCCAATACACTGAAAAGACAAAAGTTAAACATGGCCCAATAGGCCCAATATACAGATACTGAAACTTGAATTTTGCAACCGTCGTTACACGCCTTTTTTTTTTGGCATATGGAGTGAGTTCCTCAAGTTATTGACCACTCAAACTATTCCAATAAAGCATTAGGGAGTGTGGGAAAACCCAATTTTGCCCTTAGGGTATTGGATATTTTAGGTGGAAGGGATAAAGAGGACCTCTTTGAAGAGATAGTGGTGTCATTACCAATTTTCAGTTTCTCCAACATCATTCTGGAAAAATGAGGAAATAACTAGGGCACGGTTTGGTTATCCAGAATTTGATGGCGAAAAGTGAAAGAAAAAGAAAGAGAAGTGACTATTATGCATTCGATTTAGTTTCTATTATGCATTCGATTAGAATAAATTTTTTTAAAAAAAAATTGTGAAAAAATATTATTTATTCGATTAGCATGAATTTTTTTTAAAGAAAATTGTGAAAAAATATTATTTAGTAAAAAGAAAATAATTTTATATACCAAAACTACCCTTACTAATTTAATATAAATCGCTTAAAAAATATATATATAATTGGGTTATGAATATTTATAGATAAATGTCTAATTACAAATTTGGTAACTGAATAGTTTTTTTTTTGTTTTTTTTAAGTTTGCAATATATTAGGATTATTAGATTAGCTCACTTCCCTATTTTAATAATCATAAAGTTGTAATCTAATAATAGAATAGAAGAAAGAGATGAATGAATAAACAATTAATAAGGGTATAATAAAGAATCAAAATATAATTATATAACTTTCACGGAAACATTTTCAGGAAAAATGAACAGTTAAAAACTCTGTTTCTTTTCCTTTCAACCGAAGTCAAGAGCGAACACATTATCTAGCAGCTCACATCACTGTGCAACCTTGAACATGCCACCCTGATAGTAATGTGGAGGTGGAGGTCCATAAGGCGGTTCTGGTGAGTAATAATAGTCAGGCGGCGGTGGTGCTCGTGGAGGACCATAACTTGGTGGCATGTGCATAGGTGGAGCTCCATAAGGCGGTTCTGGTGAGTAATAATAGTCAAGCGGCGATGGTGCTCGTGGAGGACCACAACTTAGTGGCATGTGCATAGGTGGTGGTGCTGTTGGCGGCCCTGGAGACAGGTACCTAGGCGGTGGCGGCGTCGGCGGTCCTTGCAGCATGTACCTGCTTGGGGGAGCTGGTGGTGGCAGTGAGGGCGGAGCTGGTCCATTTAGAGGGAAGTCATGATGGGAGTGATGGTCCATTCCATAATACATTTGAGGGTCACCATGACCATACATATAATTGTCATCATTGAAATTCAACCATTTGTGGAGACGCGTGATGCGTGACATAGGCTCAATTTGGGCCATATGGTTACCCATGTAGGGCTCCATTTGTCCGCGTGGTGGGCCAGGTGGTGGGCCCGGTGGTGGGCTTGCCTTTTTTTTAGGCTTCACAAAACATAATTAAAATTGCATTAGAATTTTCACAAACACAAAGAAAAAAATTTATATAAAGGAAATAATAATAATAAAGATATAACCAACTTCATTTGTTTTACTCAAAAAATAAAAAAATAAAAAAATCAACAAATATTTGAGAAATAATAAAAAGATTGATAAATAGAAAAGGCTTCAAAATTAAATATAAAAGGTTAACGAAAAGAACTATATTAATGAAATGATGTGAAATCAATAGTTTTGATCTTGAAATTCTGTTAGTATGGTAATATCTTTTGAGAAAAAAAAAAATCTCTAAACAAGTATAATAATCAATAAAAATCTCTAAACAAGAGATCTTAACATATATCAATCTTGCTTGAACTTTAGAAAAATTAAAATAAAGAATAAAAAATTGAAATAAAAGTTGCCATGAAATTGGTAATATGATAAAGGCAGTGATATTACCCAAAAAATAAATAAATAAATAAAATTTGTATATGTTAATGTTAGCAGTGTGTGTGCTGTGTGTTTTTCTCCTTTTTGTGTGTGTGAAGATGATAGAAATACTTCAAAAAATTAAAATTTTCAATAGCCAAACAATTGATTAACATGAATCAATGTATATATGCAGCGTTAGACTAATATTAACACTCAAGTTATGCAAACCTCTCCGTTCACTTTGAACAGAAAATAAAAAATTATCTCTTTGTGAAATCAAATATTTAATGATATATAGAGATCACTGTTGAAGCAACATAGAAGATGATATATATAACATTAATATTATACCTCTTATGATACACACACATATACACACACACACACACACTCATACCTTGCGGGGAAGCAAATCTAAGAAATCCATTGGAGAGAACTTGAAAACACTGATAACTTTGTCTGATGGCAGAGATTGATAAAGAACCTTTTTGTGGCTTTATGTGAAGAAGAGAGTAATTGACCGTGTACATATATTAAACAGTGATTTGAACGTGGAAACAAAAAAGTCCATTATTATTTTGGAAACAAAAACTTCCATTATTATTTTTTTCCTATTTAACTCAAAAATTAAATTAAATTCGAATTTTTTATTTTTCAAAAGAGAATTTTGAACTTACTTTAATAGCACTAAACTTCTTATATTTCATTATATTACAATATTTAAAAAATAATAATAATAATAAAAGAAGAGTATGGGTAAAGTAATTTTCCAAATTATAAAATATTCTTTTAATATATAAGGAAACAATTTATAAAAACAATGTAAAAACTACAAATACTATGAGTTCATTTTTGTTTTGGTAAGTAATACTGTGAGTTCATTAATTGAATTTTAGAAGTATAAGTATTTAGAAATCTCTTATAAAGAATATTCGAGTTGTTAGTAAAAAAGGCTTGGTTGTGAAAAAAAGAAAAAGAAAAAAAGAAGAAGAAAATGTTAGTGAACTATATGCTTTGAATTATTAGATAATGGAGGTTTCTGGCTAATACCAAATACAAGTTTGAAATCTTCTTAGTTTATAGAAGTTAAATATAATATATGTTGACATTTGCACCTATGTGAAATTAAACACAATACTTGTATTTTCTCTAAATTTAACTTAGGTCAAGCGCAAAAGCAAAATCCATTTAGTATTTTAAAATAGTCAATTAATTAATCGGGACTACTCTTTTAGAATTTTTAGCAATTTTAGTCTAAAATCTAAATTGAAAAAAGCTATTGTGCTATATATATTTTAGTTTGAATTTGTGGAATGAGAATTGCATGTGTTGTCTAATTATGCGGTGCTTCTTAAACCATGAGCATTTTTTAGTTTAGAATAGCATTTTTTTAAATTTGTGTTATTTATAGCATTTTTTAAAATTTGTGTTATTTATAGCATTTTTATAGTAATTTGTGTTAGAGTTTATAGAAACTCTTGAATTTGTGGAATGCGAATTGCATCTATTGTCTAATTAAGGGATCATTTCAAGCTACATTAAGTAATTGAAATGAAATACACAATTCACAAGTGTACAATGAACAAGTACACTAAGCAATATCGAAACCACAAGCACCAAATCATAAGTTACAAGTAATCAATGATTAATAACTTGGAATTGAATGCGAAATCACATAATAGAAAGCTTGGACATGAAATCCCGGATTTAATCAAGACGTTACAAGTTATTTCGGGCCATTACAACCCACAAGATACTACCTAAGTGTGCACATTTGGAGAGAACTCGTGTCTCCCACACTAAAAGCCAAGCTTTAGCCGTCACAAAGCCAATGTCCCAAATATTTCCAAAATCAACAAGTTCATAACTCATACTAAACAACAATGCATGAAACCACCTTTCATGCACAAGTAGGGTGAAACCACATAAACCATGTCCTAGGGTTTCATGTTTACAATGGCATTTAAAATGTCAAATCTTTAATGTGCGATTTGCTACACAGAACAATGTCATACAAAATGTCAAATCTTCAATGTGCAATTTGCAAAACATACCATGATATCATATCTCATACAAAATCAATTCCCCATCAAGGTAGGCCACAATTACTAAATCCTTAACAAATTAGTAATAAACTTGCAAGGTAAATACTAACAATATCCCACAAGAATTCATTATCACAACAAGATACTCTCTAGAATTTAGTAATCAACTAAATTGACAATACACCTTATACAATAAATAAATATATATATATATATATATATATATATATATATATATATATATATATATATATATAAGCTACACATGCTTGAATCTTCAAAACCTAAGTCAAGTATGTAGAATAATCATCTAAATGCAATCCTATAACACAACAAGCATGCATACAATATATATAAAACTCCAAATACAATTAAAACATAAAGAAGATAAACATATTACAACCCCTACCTCACTAGAAGATTGTTCCTCTAGAATCCAAGGAAAATGAACTCAATTTGAAAAACTATGAAAAGGTGTTCTAGATAAAAAAAAAGAGAGGAATATTTGATCTTCAAGGAGGAAAACCAAATTCCCAAAGGAAGGAGGTCGAATTCTGAAAAAGGTGGAGAGGGTTTAAGGATTTCCCAAACTGCCTCACTTGAGAATTGCCCCTCTAGAATCCAAGGCAAACAACATCAAACAGAGAAACTGAGAAAAGGTGTTCTAGATATGGAGGAGAGGAAGATTTGGTTTTCAAGGTGGAAGAACAAAATTCTAAGGGAAGGAGGTCGAAATCTGAAAATGGTGGAGAGGGTTCAAGGTGGCTGCAATGGTGGCCTTTGTGAGGAAGATGAAAATCATACCTTTCTCCACTAACTCAAAGGCTTTGTTAGCCAACTACACACACTAACACTACCTCTCTCTCACACACACACATCCACCCTTCACTTGTCACAATCCTAGGGCTCCCCACAAGGTTTAATCTTAAGCCTACACTTGTCACTAATTTAGGCCAACAAGTGTACCAACCAAAAGTTTACAAGTGGGTGAATCTTCACCCTCCACTTGTCACCATCCAAAGCATCCTCACAAGGCTTAATCACAAGTCTACATTTCTCAACATCCCAAATTAATAAGTGTTCCAATCCAAGGCCAACAAGTAGGTGAACCTACACCCAACACTTGTCACTTAAACAAGCTTCCAAGTCTTACCACCAAGAGGATGACAAGTGGCCCCAAGGAAAAGTGACACTTGTCATTAATTCCTACAAATTGCAAAGGGGTCCCTCTTCTAAATATCCTAAAGAATATTTGCACAAAAGTTCCTACGACGAAAAATAATTACATAAAGTAAAGTCCCTAAGACGAAAAATACTATGAGATTATATGCATACAGACCCCCTTGGCATTTTCGAAAGAGTAAAAGGGAAAAATAGGTATTACATCATTACTGTATCTTATATTTATATTTGAGGGGTGTTTTCGCACAATGTTAAAAGAATAAGTGAGTTATTAACTTACTTTTTCAAATAGAGGGTGAAAGTGCTACCCGGAATATACATTAGCTAGGGGTATTTTTTGCATCTGACCTTAATTTTTTTTTAATAATATTGTAACAGGAAATACTAATAAGTATTAGGAAATATTGAAATTCAATAAAAGGAAATTTAATTAGAGAAGGATATATATTATATTAAGAAATTAACTTATTAAAATTCAATAAAAAGAAATCTAATTCGATAAGGAAATATATAGTATTGAACAACTTATTATTTAATTCAATAAAATAAGATATAATTAGAGAATGAAATACTACCACTAATAATATAGTTTAGGAAATACTTAAATTCAATAAATGGAAATCTAATAAGAGAAAGAAATATATAATATTTAAAAACTAAATTATTAAAATTTAATAAAAGAAAATCTAATTAAAGAATGAAATATATAATATTAATAAACTTATTTATTTCTTTCAATAAAAGAAAATCAAATTAGAGGAGAAATACTAATATATATATATATATATATATATATATATATATATATATATATATATATATATATTTGTAGTAGGAAATACTAAAATTCAATAAAAGGAAATCTAATTAGAGAAGAAAATATATAATATATTTTAATAAATACATAACAATAATTTTATATCAAATTATACCAATAAAATCCTAACTAAGAATTCTACATGCAAAATTATTTTTATATTTGATTTTTTATAATTTGTTTTAAAATTTTAAAATATTTTTTATTTCAATAAATATTATATTTTTATAATATTATTTATATATAAAAAATAATAATACAAAACTAATCTTATATATATACATATATACACTATTATTAAAAGTACAAGGGGGTTAGAGAATTTCAAATCATTGATTTATAATTAATTTAATAAGATAATTTATTTAAAATATTAATAAACAAAGTCCAACTAAAATAAAATACTAAAGTACCAATAAGCAAAGTACAACTAAAATAAAATAAAGATACCAATAAGCAAGTCCAACTAAACTAATATAAAAAGAATTTTTAAAAGTGTTTCTATAAACTATAACACAAATTATCTATCAATATAAAAAGAATTTTTAAAAGAATTCCTATAAAACTCTAATACAAATTACCTAATTACAATGAGTTCACCTACATCACACTCTTTTTTTTTTTTTTTTAAAAGGTTCTAACCCCGACCTTCTTTTGGGAGGTAAGAGCCTTGTACCGTTAAACCACAGACATGTTGATACATCGCACTGCAATACTAGTTAGTATATATATTATTATTAAAAAAGTACAAGGGTGTTAAGTGTTTCAAATCATATTTATAAATAACAATAAAATAAGTTATCCAATAGAACAATAATCTTATTATACTCAAATTTGTTCATGGTTTGTCGATTAGCAGAAAGAAAAGCGGAAAGACATTTTTTATTTTTTTTAAAAGGAGAGTTTTGTAAGACCTTCTGTTCTACACATGATAAAAGGTGTTTCAAATCATATTTATAAATAAAAATAAAATAATAAAATAAGTTATCCAATAGAATAATAATCCTATTCTACTCAAAATTGCTCATAGTTTACTCTACACAGGATAAAAATAAAAAAATAAAAAAAGTTATCAAACATAATAATAACCCTATTCTACTAAAAAATGCTCATGGTTTATTCTAATTATGTGGTGCTTCTCAGGGCCACACGGGATTCCTCAGGGTTTACTCTCCTACATGCGTAGGCGATACACATAAATTCAACTTCATTAAAATTTTTTGAGAGTTTAAGTAGAATGCGGCAAGATTCCAAGAATGGTTGATCTGCTAAGTTTATTTTGAATTGTGCAATTTAATTTAGTTTTTACTTTTTAATCTGTGTTTTATGTTTCGTTTTAAATTTGGCTGATTCATTCTTAATTATTTTCGCTCATCTGTCAGGTTTTATTATTATTATTATTATTATTTTTATTTAGTGCTTGGGTTGGACTTGTTTTGTATTGAATTTGTCACAAATTGAATTTTGTGTAATTGATTAATTTAATACATTATTTAATTTCTTGGTGTTTGTTTGTTTGTTTGTTTGTTTTTTTTTTTTTTTTTTTCCAGAAACATCATGAAAGTTTTATTTTTTATTATGTGTTTTATACTTGGTTTAAAATTTGGTTGGGGGGTTCATCCTTAATTTATTTGGGTCGGACTAGATTTTGGATTTGAATTTGAATTTGTTACCTATTGAAATTTTGTTTAATTACATATTGAAATTTTGTTTAATATGTTACGTATTAAATATTTGTTTCACTGATTAAAGCTTTCTAAAAGTTGTTGGTATATAAAAATTGTACGAGTAATTTTTTATTCAACTTATTTTATTATTTTTTTTCAGAAGCATCGTGAAGGTATCAAATTCAGATGGTTTATTCGTAATTTTTTTATTTTAAATTTAGTTTTTTATTCTTAATTTATTTATTTAATCATATATGGGTTTTTCTTATGGGTTTTATGTTTGGTTTTAAATTTGAAATATTTTTTTCCAAATTAAAGAATAAGTATTCTTCTTTATTCTATTGATATTTAATTGTATTAAAGTGCTCTACTAATATCTTCGCAATTTTTTTTATCAACTCTCTTTAACTCTATCAAAGCTCCTACGAATCTTATAGTAATAATTTATCTATCTACTATATGAATTCGTTTACGAAAGAAAAGAAAAATACCTATTATCTTCTCTAATTCTATTTCTACAAAGAAATATTCATCCTAACAGTACTTTCAAAAATACTTGAGGTGCTTTTTCGGTGTTTGAATTTTAATTTTAAAATAATTGTTCATTGTCTAGAGTTGTAGTTGCAATGCTAATCCAATAAATTATTGTCAAACTGTATTAAAAAAAAAAAATTTATTTTCGTTTTACAAGTTAACCACTATATTAACAATATATATATATATATAATTAAAAAATAACTTAATAACTTACCAATTAAAATAAAATAAGTTATTAAGTTATTTTTTAATTATATATATATATATTAAAATATATTTATATATATTTATTTATTCTTATTAAAACAAGTTACCAATTAAAATAAAATAAGTAATAAGTTACCAATTAAAATAAAATAAGTTATTTTTTAATAAAATAATTTACCAATAATAAAACAAGTCCGTCAATTAAAATAAAATAGGTAATTGTTTAATTAAAAATTAATCTTTATCTTATTGAATTTACAAGTTAACCACTGTATTAACAAAAGAAAAAAAAAATCAATTTCGTTTTCCAAGTTAACCACTATATTAATAATAATAAAAAATTATTCTTATTAAAATAATAGATTTGTAGCTTAAAATAAAAAAATATATAAATTAAAATTTTTAAATTTTGCTAACCACTTGCCTTATGGATCACCAAACCGATCTCTCTTGATCATATAAACTTGGGTTAAGGGTACTAAACCCCCTACATCTATGACCCAATTACAATAAGTTCCTTTGAACTAAAAATAATCTCCTGAACTATATTATTATTGCACTGTATAAGACAATCTGTTAACCAACCGTTAACAAAAAAAAAAAAGAAAAAGTAATTAACCTTTTTGCCCTTAAGTTGAACCACATCGTTTCATTTATTTTCCAACTTGATATGCTGACATGGCAAAACAAACATACTGACCAATAAAAAAATGACAGCACAACCTTATCATTATACAGAGAAAGTATACAACAACTTATATCTATTTCAGGCACCTAACAATCATTTCCTTCTCTTATATGCGTGAAGCTCTGACAGACTGCATCATATATATATATATATATATATATACCAAATTGTTCCTTGCTAACTTCTTGCAAAGAGGATTCTGTCGCAACCATTCGACTCTTCCCCAATTCTCTCTTTTTCTATCATGATCGATTTCGTCCATTAATTTTTTTCTTTAGATTTTATTGTTTCTCTCATGGACGAGTTTGTATTGCAATAGAAAAATTAGGGTTTTGATTTTGTTTTTTCATCTTATACAAAAATTATCACTTCAGGGTTTTAATTTTTCTAACACAAACTGAAGGTTGAATGGTGGTGGCAGAGTGGCAGGGGTAGGGTTTAAGTGAAAAACCAGAGAGAGAAAAACACTATAAAATCTGTGGGATGGAAATAGCATCCCCATATCCACTTGGAGAGTTATTGTCATCAATTTGGAATTTTCAATTTTTTGTATATATATATATATATATATATATCCTGATATCCATCATCTTGCGGATGGTTTGTTGAACAATAAAATGACAAAAAAAAAAAGAACACTCTGTTGGTGATGAGGGGACTTGAATTTTTAACAGGATAGAGCATTGGGGTGGTAGAGAAGCTAGCTCTATTACTGAAGACGGTACATAAAAATGA